ATGTTTTACTCAATTCTGTTTTGCATTCTTATCAACCATTGTCACTGTTGTTACTTTTCGGTATTCTGTTAGAGATTTTTAGATTTGATAGGGAAGCTGATGAGGTCAAATATACTGTTTAGGTTTTCTACTGCCAAGTTTACACCTTCACTATTACAGTGGACGTTTTTGTCCAGGAAGTTGTCTAAAAGGGATGAATTTGTTGTTGCCTAATTGTTTTTTTGTAGGTTTCGACACTACTTTCCTTCCATCTATAGCATGTCTTAATATTATTCAGTTCCTTTGGCTTTGATGCCTCATGATTCAGTATTGCTCTGTTCAAGTAGACTGTGATTTTGCTGTGATCTGATAGGGGTGTCAGTGGGGCTGATTGTGAACGCTCTGAGAGACTCTGGGTTGAGGTCAGTGATAAAGTAGTCTACAGTACTACTGCCAAGAGATGAGCTATAGGTGTACCTACCATAGGAGTCCCCTCGAAGCCTACCATTGACTATGTACATACCCAGAGTGCGACAGAGCTGTAGGAGTTGTGACCTGTTTTTGTGGGTTTATGTTGTCGTAGTTGTGCCTAGGGGGCATATGGGGGAGGGAATGCTGTCTCCTCTCTCTCTCCAGAATACCTAACCATCAGGCTGTTCTCTCTCTCTCCAGAATACCTAACCATCAGGCTGTTCTCTCTCTCTCTCTCCAGAGTACCTAACCATCAGGCTGTTCTCTCTCTCTCTCTCCAGAGTACCTGACCATTGGGCTGTTCTCTCTCTCTCTCTCCAGAATACTAACCATCAGGCGTTCTCTCTCTCTCTCTCCAGAATACCTAACCATCAGGCTGTTCTCTCTCTCTCTCTCCAGAATACCTAACCATCAGGCTGTTCTCTCTCTCTCCAGAGTACCTAACCATCAGGCTGTTCTCTCTCTCTCCAGAATACCTAACCATCAGGCTGTTCTCTCTCTCTCCAGAATACCTAACCATCAGGCTGTTCTCTCTCGCTCTCCAGAATACCTAACCATCAGCTGTTCTCTCTCTCTCCAAGATACCTAACCATCAGGCTGTTCTCTCTCTCTCTCTCCAGAATACTAACCATCAGGCTGTTCTCTCTCTCTCTCCAGAGTAACCTAACCATCAGGCTGTTCTCTCTCTCTTCTCTCCAGAATACCTAAACCATCAGGCTGTTCTCTCCTCTCTCCAGAGTACCTAAACCATCAGGCTGTTCTCTCTCTCTCTCTCCGAGTACCTAACCATCAGGTGTTCCTCTCTCTCTCCCAGAATACCTAACCATCAGGCTGTTCTCTCTCTCTCCAGAATACCTAACCATCCAGGCTGTTTCTCTCTCTCTCCAGAATACCTTAAACAATCAAGGCTGTTCTTCTCTCTCTCTCTCCAGAATACCTAACCATCAGGCTGTTCTCCTCTCTCTCCAGAGTACCTAACCATCAGGCTGTTCTCTCTCTCCTCTCCAGAGTACCTAACCCATCAGGCTGTTCTCTCTCTCTCCAGAGTACCTAACCATCAGGGCTGTCTCTCTCTCTCTCTCCAGAATACCTAACCATCAGGCTGTTCTCTTCTCTCCAGAATACCTAACCATCAGGCTGTTCTCTCTCTCTCCCAGAATACCTAACCATCAGGCTGTTCTCTCTCTCTCCAGAGTACCTAACCATCAGGCTGTTCTCTCTCTCTCTCTCCAGAGTACCTAACCATCAGGCTGTTCTCTCTCTCTCTCTCCAGAATACCTAACCATCAGGCTGTTCTCTCTCTCTCTCTCCAGAGTACCTAACCATCAGGTGTTCTCTCTCTCTCCAGAGTACCTAACCATCAGGCTGTTCTCTCTCTCTCCAGAATACCTAACCATCAGGCTGTTCTCTCTCTCTCCAGAGTACCTAACCATCAGGCTGTTCTCTCTCTCTCTCTCTCCAGAATACCTGACCATCAGCTGTTCTCGCTCTCTCTCTCTCCAGAGTAACCTGACCATCAGGCTGTTCTTCTCTCTCTCTCTCTCTCCAGAATACCAACCATCAGGCTGTTCTCTCTCTCTCCAGAATACCTACCATCAGGCTGTTCTCTCTCTCTCCAGAATACCTAACCATCAGGCTGTTCTCTCTCTCTCCAGAGTACCTAACCATCAGGCTGTTCTCTCTCTCTCTCTCTCTCCAGAATACCTAACCATCAGGCTGTTCTCTCTCTCTCTATCCAGAGTACCTAAACCATCAGGCTGTTCTCTCTCTCTCTCTCCAGAATACCTAACCATCAGGCTGTTCTCTCTCTCTCTCCAGAGTACCTAACCATCAGGTGTTCTCTCTCTCTCCAGAGTACCTGACCATTGGGCTGTTCTCTCTCTCTCCAGAGTACCTAACCATCAGGTGTTCTCTCTCTCTCCAGAATACCTAACCATCAGGCTGTTCTCTCTCTCTCTCTCCAGAGTACCTAACCATCAGGCTGTTCTCTCTCTCTCTCTCCAGAATACCTAACCATCAGGCTGTCTCTCTCTCTCCAGAGTACCTAACCATCAGGCTGTTCTCTCTCTCTCCAGAATACCTAACCATCAGGCTGTTCTCTCTCTCTCCAGAAATACCTAACCATCAGGCTGTTCTCTCTCTCTCCAAAATACCTAACCATCAGGCTGTTTCTCTCTCTCCTCCAGAGTACCTAACCATCAGGCTGTTCTCTCTCTCTCTCCAGAATACCTAACCATCAGGCTGTTCTCTCTCTCTCTCTCCAGAATACCTAACCATCAGGCTGTTTCTCTCTCTCTCTCTCTCAGAATACCTAACCATCAGGCTGTTCTCTCTCTCTCCTCTCCAGAGTACCTGACCATCAGGCTGTTCTCTCCTCTCCAGAATACCTAACCATCAGGCTGTTCTCATCTCTCTCTCTCTCTCCAAGAGTACCTAACCATCAGGCTGTTCTCTCTCTCTCTCCAGAATACCTAACCTCAGGCTGTTCTCTATCTCTCTCTCCAGATACCTAACTCAGGTGTTCTCTCTCTCCTCTTCCAGAATACCAACCATCAGGCTGTTCTCTCTCTCTCTCTCCAGAGTAACTAACCATCAGGCTGTTCTCCTCTCTCTCTCTCCAGAGTACCTAACCATCAGGCTGTTTCTCTCTCTCTCTCCAGAGTACCTAACCATCAGGCTGTTCTCTCTCTCTCTCTCTCTCTCTCCCCAGAATACCTAACCATCAGGCTGTTCTCTCTCTCTCCAGAGTACCTAACCATCAGGCTGTTCTCTCTCTCTCTCTCCAGAATACCTAACCATAGGCTGTTCTCCTCTCTCTCCAGAATACCTAACCATCAGGCTTTTCTCTCTCTCTCCCCAGAGTACCTAACCATCAGGCTGTTCTCTCTCTCTCCAGAATACCTAACCATCAGGTGGTTCTCTCTCTCTCCAGAATACCTAACCATCAGGCTGTTCTCTCTCTCTCTCTCCAGAGTACCTAACCATCAGGCTGTTCTCTCTCTCTCCAGAGTACCTAACCATCAGGCTGTTCTCTCTCTCTCTCTCCAGAATACCTAACCATCAGGCTGTTCTCTCCTCTACTCTCCAGAATACCTAACCATCAGGCCTGTTCTCTCTCTTCTCTCTCCAGAATACCTAACCATCAGGCTGTTCTCTCTCTCTCTCTCCAGAATACCTAACCATCAGGCTGTTCTCTCTCTCTCCAGAGTACCTAACCATCAGGCTGTTCTCTCTCTCTCTCTCCAGAATACCTAACCATCAGGCTGTTCTCTCTCTCTCTCTCCAGAATACCTAACCATCAGGCTGTTCTCTCTCTCTCTCTCCAGAATACCTAACCATCAGGCTGTTCTCTCTCTCTCCAGAGTACCTAACCATCAGGGCTGTCTCTCTCTCTCTCTCCAGAATACCTAACCATCAGGCTGTTCTCTCTCTCTCCAGAGTACCTAACCATCAGGCTGTTCTCTCTCTCTTCTCCCAGAGTACCTAACCATCAGGCTGTTTCTCTCTCTCTCTCTCTCCAGAGTACCTAAACCATCAGGCTGTTCTCTCTCTCTCTCTCTCCAGAGTACCTAAACATCAGGCTGTTCTCTCTCTCTCCAGAATACCTAACCATCAGGCTGTTCTCTCTCTCTCCAGAGTACCTAACCATCAGGCTGTTCTCTCTCTCTCTCTCCAGAATACCTAACCATCAGGCTGTTCTCTCTCTCTCCAGAGTACCTAACCATCAGGCTGTTCTCTCTCTCTCTCTCTCTCTCTCTCCAGAGTACCTGACCATTGGGCTGTGCTCCGTGAGTCGTCCTAAAGGCACCTATCTGATCTCCACCTTGTCCTCCATCTTCTCCCGCTCCTCCACCGGCAGAGCTGAGCTCCATGGTGGTGGTGGTTACTGCTGGCAGACTTCGATGCCCAATGGAGAGAGACCACGCTGGGGGAGATTACAGCTACCTTCCCCTCCCAGTGGAGGCAGAGCAGCTATTGGTGGTACATGCCCCCAAGCAGTACTACCCACCATTAACAGGTACAATAGCAGTACTACCCACTAGTAACAGGTCAGTTGGTTAGCTGGTCAGTCGGTTAGCTGGACAGTCGGTTAGTTGGTGAGATGGTTTAACTAGTTGTTTCTATGTTTTAGGCCTGAAAAGGAACTATAATGACAACGCAGACCGTGTGACGTTTCGCTCCAAACAGAACGTTGACTATAGCTTCCTGCTTCAGTTCTGCGCTGGGCGGAGCCTGCTCTACCTGCAGCTGGAGGACGACGTCTCCTGCTCGCAGAACTTCCTGTCTGCCATCAGGGGGCGTGTCCAGCAACAGGAAGTGGTGGGCGGAGTACCCTGGGCCACGTTGGAGTTCTCAGCGCTGGGCTACATCGGGAAGCTGTACCACTCAGAACACCTCCCCCTCCTCTCACGCTTCCTCTTCCTGTTCTACCAGGAAATGCCCTGCGACTTCCTGTTCAGTCACTTCCGGGTGCTTTTGACAACAGGGTGAGGCGATCCGCTTCACGCCCTCACTGTTTCAACACATGGGCTCATACTCCTCGTTCCTGGGGACATTCAACAAGCTGAAGGACGAAGACTTTGAGGAGGACCTGTACACCAACCCTCCTGCTGATGTCTATAGTGACATACCAGGTAGAAACACACACAATGCAGTGAACAGACACACACACACACACACACACACACACACACAATGCAGTGTGGAAAGGCCCCATAAGGACCCTGTGGCGGCTCTGGTCTGGCTATATAAAGAGCATTTCACTGGAAGGTTGTATTTGGTGCCTGTGACAAATAACATTTGATTTGATTGATATCTAACATGTATCTCTGTGTCTGTGTGTCTAGCCTATGAGGACCATGTGGCGGCCATGGCCTGGTCTCCCGGTACTGGAACATTCTTCTGGGGTCGGAGTCCCTTTTCAGGGAACCACCTAACCGTCGCCTTCAAACAGCCTGCTGTGGTTACCGGCATTATCGTGGTGACAGGGTCAGCAGAGGGTCGTGACCAGTTGGCATCTGCGACCGTGGAGCTGGGGTCTCCACCCGGGTAACTGAGAAGACTGGGTTGGGGATAACGTGCCAGGAGTTCTATAGCGTGGGGGATCTGCAGGGAGGGAAGATGAACATGACGGACATACACAAGAAGAGATCTGGCCACGCCTCTTCCTGTCTGAAGATAAGAGTTACAGCCAATCAGAATGACTGGGTTATCATCAGGAAGATCAGGATTACTACAGAGGAGGAATGAATACACTGAACACACACACACACACTGAATATACACACACACACACACTGAACACACACACACACACACACACACACACACACACACTCTGAACAGACACACACACACACACACTGAACACACACACACACACACACACACACTCTGAACAGACACACACACACACACTGAATATACACACACACACACACACACACACTCTGAACAGACACACACACACACACTGAACACACACACACACACACACACACACACTGAACACACACACACACACACACACACACACTCTGAACAGACACACACACACACTGAACACACACACACACACACACACACTCTGAACACACACACACACACACACACTCTGAACAGACACACACACACACACTGAATATACACACACACACACACTCTGAACACACACACACACACACACACTCTGAACAGACACACACACACACACACTGAATATACACACACACACACACACACTCTGAACAGACACACACACACACACACACACTCTGAACAGACACACACACACACACTGAATATACACACACACACACACACACACACTGAATATACACACACACACACACACACTCTGAACAGACACACACTGAATGTAGCTGAGGTGATTTGCACTCACCCTGTTGTTACCCTGCTGTACTGAGTCGAGCCACATCTCTTGAAACGAGTCGAGCCCCGTCTTTTGTAACGCGTCCAGCCCCGTCTGCAACTTCAAAATCACTGTCACCTTGGGAACAGGGAATTTCGTCTTGGTCTAATGGTTAAGATATTGGTAATATCTAATGCTTGTGTTTCTAGCTCCGACAGTGAAGTAATATCTAATGCTTGTGTTTCTAGCTCCGACAGTGAAGTAATATCTAATGCTTGTGTTTCTAGCTCCGACAGTGAAGTAATATCTAATGCTTGTGTTTCTAGCTCCGACAGTGCAGTAATACTCCAACAGTGCAGTAATACTCCAACAGTGCAGTAATACTCCCACAGTGCAGTAATACTCCAACAGTGCAGTAATACTCCCACAGTGCAGTAATACTCCAACAGTGCAGTAATACTCCAACAGTGCAGTAATACTCCCACAGTGCAGTAATACTCCCACAGTGCAGTAATACTCCAACAGTGCAGTAATACTCCAACAGTGCAGTAATACTCCCACAGTGCAGTAATACTCCAACAGTGCAGTAATACTCCAACAGTGTAGTAATACTCCAACAGTGCAGTAATACTCCAACAGTGCATTAATACTCCAACAGTGCAGTAATACTCCCACAGTGCAGTAATACTCCAACAGTGCAGTAATACTCCAACAGTGCAGTTAATACTCCAACAGTGCAGTAATACTCCAACGGTGCAGTAATACTCCCACAGTGCAGTAATACCCCAACAGTGCAGTAATACTCCAAACAGTGCAGTAATACTCCAACAGTGCAGTAATACTCCCAACAGTGCAGTAATACTCCCACAGTGCAGTAATACTCCAACAGTGCAGTAATACCCCCAACAGTGCAGTAATACTCCAACAGTGCAGTAATACTCCCACCAGTGCAGTAATACTCCAACAGTGCAGTAATACTCCAACAGTGCAGTAATACTCCAACGGTGCAGTAATACTCCAACAGTGCAGTAATACTCCAACAGTGCAGTAATACTCCAACAGTGCAGTAATACTCCAACAGTGCAGTAATACTCCAACAGTGCAGTAATACTCCAACAGTGCAGTAATACTCCAACAGTGCAGTAATACTCCCACAGTGCAGTAATACTCCAACAGTGCAGTAATACTCCCACCGTGCAGTAATACTCCAACAGTGCAGTAATACTCCAACAGTGCAGTAATACTCCAACAGTGCAGTAATACTCCCACAGTGCAGTAATACTCCAACAGTGCAGTAATACTCCAACAGTGCAGTAATACTCCAACAGTGCAGTAATACTCCAACAGTGCAGTAATACTCCAACAGTGCAGTAATACTCCAACAGTGCAGTAATACTACCTAAACTATACTAAACAATACGCACAAAAGACAAAAAATATTTGAACGAGAAATGTCAGAGTCTGGAATATAAATATACAGTGCCTTCAGAAAGTACTGATGATGATGATGATGATGATGATGATGATGATGATGTTGGATCTACACATGACTCCAGAGTGCTCAGTGAGAGTGGCCTCAACATGCTGTTTGAGTGCAATGTTGTTGACAAGGGGTACCCCCAGAGGAGGTGGCTGCTGACCCCTTTCCCACCACCTCTTCCCGGCACTCAGCTCAATTGTAACCGGTGAGGCAATAGGTCAAACATTTGATTTACTGACCTACAGTATATAGTGGACCTTATCTCAGTATAATTACAACCCCATCACTACAACAGTTGGACCAATATATTTAAACCGGCACATGGTGGAGCTCTTTTTCAACTTTGACATTATAACGTTTCTAATACTTTTATATTATTTAATTTCTCATCTTTTAATACTATTGTATACATTGTGAACATGCGGAGTGTTTGATGTATTAATGTGTGATTTGTTCCCATTACGTTCAGGGATCTCAAGACATCAGGGAAAATCATCTGGTATCTGTCTGTCTGTCTGCCTCAAGTCAAATTTGTATTTATTAAAATAAAATCTATGCAAATACATTCACTGTTTTCCTCAACCACAACCGTCCCTTACACACACACACACACACACACACACACACACACACACACAGAACACCTCTGGCAGAGGTGTTCTCTCTAGTGGCCACCTCTGGCCTGCTGGCCCCCCTACCTCTGGCCTGCTGGCCCCCCTACCTCTGGCCTGCTGGCTCCCCTACCTCTGGCCTGCTGGCCCCCCTACCTCTGGCCTGCTGGCCCCCCTACCTCTGGCCTGCTGGCTCCCCTACCTCTGGCCTGCTGGCCCCCCTACCTCTGGCCTGCTGGCCCCCCTACCTCTGGCCTGCTGGCCCCCCTACCTCTGGCCTGCTGGCCCCCCTACCTCTGGCCTGCTGGCCCCCCTACCTCTGGCCTGCTGAACCCCCTACCTCTGGCCTGCTGGCTCCCCTACCTCTGGCCTGCTGGCCCCCCTACCTCTGGCCTGCTGGCCCCCCTACCTCTGGCCTGCTGGCTCCCCTACCTCTGGCCTGCTGGCCCCCCTACCTCTGGCCTGCTGGCCCCCCTACCTCTGGCCTGCTGGCCCCCCCTACCTCTGGCCTGCTGGCCCCCCTACCTCTGGCCTGCTGGCTCCCCTACCTCTGGCCTGCTGGCTCCCCTTCCTCTGGCCTGCTGGCCCCCCTACCTCTGGCCTGCTGGCTCCCCTACCTCTGGCCTGCTGGCCCCCCTACCTCTGGCCTGCTGGCCCCCCCTACCTCTGGCCTGCTGGCCCCCCTACCTCTGGCCTGCTGGCCCCCCCTACCTCTGGCCTGCTGGCCCCCCTACCTCTGGCCTGCTGGCCCCCCTACCTCTGGCCTGCTGGCCCCCCTACCTCTGGCCTGCTGGCCCCCCCTACCTCTGGCCTGCTGGCTCCCCTACCTCTGGCCTGCTGGCCCCCCTACCTCTGGCCTGCTGGCCCCCCTACCTCTGGCCTGCTGGCCCCCCTACCTCTGGCCTGCTGGCCCCCCTACCTCTGGCCTGCTGGCCCCCCTACCTCTGGCCTGCTGGCCCCCCTACCTCTGCGGAAGCACAGTTCCCGCTCAGCCCAGTCAAAACTGTTCGCTGCTCTGGCACCCCAATGGTGGAACAAGCTCCCTCACGACGCCAGGACAGCGGAGTCACTCACCACCTTCCCGGAGACACTTGAAACCCCACCTCTTTAAGGAATACCTGGGATAGGATAAAGTAATCCTTCTACCCCCCCTTAACCCCCCCCCAAAAAAATAAAAAAATAAAAAAATTGTAAAGTGGTTATCCCACTGGCTATCATAAGTTGAATGCACCAATTTGTAAGTCGCTCTGGATAAGAGCGTCTGCTAAATGACGTAAATGTAAATGTCTGTTCTCTCTAGTGGCTGTTCTCTCTAGTGGCTGCTCTCTCTCTGGCAGAGGTCTTCTCTCTGGTGGCTGTTCTCTCATGTGGCTGCTCTCTCTCTGGCAGAGGTCTTCTCTCTGGTGGCTGTTCTCTCATGTGGCTGCTCTCTCTCTGGCAGAGGTCTTCTCTCTGGTGGCTGTTCTCTCTAGTGGCTGCTCTCTCTCTGGCAGAGGTCTTCTCTCTGGTGGCTGTTCTCTCATGTGGCTGCTCTCTCTCTGGCAGAGGTCTTCTCTCTGGTGGCTGTTCTCTCATGTGGCTGCTCTCTCTCTGGCAGAGGTCTTCTCTCTGGTGGCTGTTCTCTCATGTGGCTGCTCTCTCTCTGGCAGAGGTCTTCTCTCTGGTGGCTGTTCTCTCATGTGACTGCTCTCTCTCTGGCAGAGGTCTTCTCTCTGGTGGCTGTTCTCTCATGTGGCTGCTCTCTCTCTGGCAGAGGTCTTCTCTCTGGTGGCTGTCCTCTCATGTGGCTGCTCTCTCTCTGGCAGAGGTCTTCTCTCTGGTGGCTGTTCTCTCATGTGGCTGCTCTCTCTCTGGCAGAGGTCTTCTCTCTGGTGGCTGTTCTCTCTAGTGGCTGCTCTCTCTCTGGCAGAGGTCTTCTCTCTGGTGGCTGTTCTCTCATGTGGCTGCTCTCTCTCTGGCAGAGGTCTTCTCTCTGGTGGCTGTTCTCTCATGTGGCTGCTCTCTCTCTGGCAGAGGTCTTCTCTCTGGTGGCTGTTCTCTCATGTGGCTGCTCTCTCTCTGGCAGAGGTCTTCTCTCTGGTGGCTGTTCTCTCATGTGGCTGCTCTCTCTCTGGCAGAGGTCTTCTCTCTGGTGGCTGTTCTCTCTAGTTGCTGCTCTCTCTCTGGCAGAGGTCTTCTCTCTGGTGACTGCTTTACATTTACATTTACATTTACGTCATTTAGCAGACCCTCTTATCCAGAGCGACTTACAAATTGGTGCATTCACCTTATAGCCAGTGGGATAACCACTTTACCATTTTAAAAAAATAAATTTGGTTGGGTGGGGTAAGTGGGGGTTAGAAGGATTACTTTATCCTATCCCAGGTATTCCTTAAAGAGGTGGGGTTTCAAATGTCTCCGGAAGGTGGTGAGTGACTCCGCTGTCCTGGCGTCTTGAGGGAGCTTGTTCCACCATTGGGGTGCCAGAGCAGCGAACAGTTTTGACTGGGCTGAGCGGGAACTGTGCTTCAGCAGAGGTAGGGGAGCCAGCAGGCCAGAGGTGGATGAACGCAATGCCCTCGTTTGGGTGTAGGGACTGATCAGAGCCTGAAGGTACGGAGGTGCCGTTCCCCTCACAGCTCCGTAGGCAAGCACCATGGTCTTGTAGCAGATGCGAGCTTCAACTGGAAGCCAGTGTAGTGTGCGGAGGAGCGGGGTGACGTGAGAGAACTTGGGAAGGTTGAACACCAGACGGGCTGCGGCATTCTGGATGAGTTGTAGGGGTTTAATGGCACAGGCAGGGAGCCCAGCCAACAGCGAGTTGCAGTAATCCAGACGGGAGATGACAAGTGCCTGGATTAGGACCTGTGCCGCTTCCTGTGTAAGGCAGGGTCGTACTCTCCGAATGTTGTAGAGCATGAACCTACAGGATCGGATCACCGCCTTGATGTTAGCGGAGAACGACAGGGTGTTGTCCAGGGTCACGCCAAGGCTCTTCGCACTCTGGGAGGAGGACACAACGGAGTTGTCAACCGTGATGGCGAGATCATGGAACGGGCAGTCCTTCCCCGGGAGGAAGAGCAGCTCCGTCTTGCCGAGGTTCAGCTTGAGGTGGTGATCCGTCATCCATACTGATATGTCTGCCAGACATGCAGAGATGCGATTCGCCACCTGGTTATCAGAAGGGGGAAAGGAGAAGATTAGTTGTGTGTCGTCTGCGTAGCAATGATAGGAGAGGCCATGTGAGGATATGACAGAGCCAAGTGACTTGGTGTATAGCGAGAATAGGAGAGGGCCTAGAACTGAGCCCTGGGGGACACCAGTGGTGAGAGCACGTGGTGCGGAGACAGCTTCTCGCCACGCCACTTGGTAGGAGCGACCGGTCAGGTAGGACGCGATCCAAGAGTGAGCCGCGCCGGAGATGCCCAGCTCGGAGAGGGTGGAGAGGAGGATCTGATGGTTCACAGTATCAAAGGCAGCAGACGGGTCTAGAAGGACAAGAGCAGAGGAGAGAGAGTTAGCTTTAGCAGTGCGGAGAGCCTCCGCGACACAGAGAGCAGTCTCAGTTGAATGACCAGTCTTGAAACCTGACTGGTTTGAATCAAGAAGGTCATTCTGAGAGAGATAGCAAGAGAGTTGGCTAAAGACGGCACGCTCAATAGTTTTGGAGAGAAAAGAAAGAAGGGATACTGGTCTGTAGTTGTTGACATCAGAGGGATCGAGTGTTGGTTTTTTGAGAAGGTGTGCCACTCTCGCTCTCTTGAAGACTGAAGGGACATAGCCAGCGGTCAAGGATGAGTTGATCAGCGAGGTGAGGTAAGGGAGAAGGTCACCGGAGATGGTCTGGAAAAGAGAGGAGGGGATAGGGTCAAGCGGGCAGGTTGTTGGGCGGCCGGCCGTCACAAGTCGCAAGATTTTATCTAGAGAGAGAGGGGAGAAAGAAGTCAAAGCATAGGGTAGGGCAGTGTGAGCAGGACCAGCAGTGTCATTTGACTTAACAAACGAGGATCGGATGTCGTCAACCTTCTTTTCAAAATGGTTGACGAAGTCATCCACAGAGAGGGAGGAGGGGGGGAAGGGGAGGAGGTTCAGCAGGGAGGAGAAGGTGGCAAAGAGCTTCCTAGGGTTAGAGGCAGATGCTTGGAATTTAGAGTGGTAGAAAGTGGCCTTAGCAGCAGAAACAGATGAAGATGCCAGGTCCGCAGGGAGTCTAGTTTTCCTCAATTTCCGCTCGGCTGCCCGGAGCCCTGTTCTGTGAGCTCGCAATGAGTCATCAAGCCACGGAGCTGGAGGGGAGGACCGAGCCGGCCGGGAGAATAGGGGACATAGAGAGTCAAAGGATGCAGAAAGGGAGGAGAGGAGGGTTGAGGAGGCAGAATCAGGAGATTGGAGGGAGAAGGATTGAGCAGAGGGAAGAGATGATAGGATGGAAGAGGAGAGCGTAGCGGGAGAGAGAGAGCGAAGGTTGCGACGGCGCATTACCATCTGAGTAGGGGCAGAGTGAGTAGTGTTGGAGGAGAGCGAGAGAGAAAAGGATACAAAGTAGTGGTCGGAGACATGGAGGGGAGTTGCAGTGAGATTAGTAGAAGAACAGCATCTAGTAAAGATGAGGTCAAGCG